CCTGGCTCTACTGTAGTGGTACAGTGGGGCTGCTCTCCAGGATTCTGCTGGCAGGAGTACACCAGCACAGAGCTGCCTTGTCACTACAGAAACAGGAACACCTTCCCATGTTTTCATGACAAAAAAAAGATTCTGTAGGATTTTGGGAGGAGGCAGGAGACATAGGCAGCATACTGGCTACATAGAAAACATTCATTTGCAGCTGGCTGAAGATGAGGGTCTTGGTTGGTGGGGGGACAGCCATATCGTCTCATATCACAGAAAATTCTATATAGTATCTGAATACTGTCTAAGTCTCTATGAACCCATCTATATACTCCTAGCCAAACCTGAAGGCCTGGAAAAACCCTGATTTTTTTTTAGGACCCCCCCCCCTTTGGAAAAAAATGAGAAATTTGGATGAGTGCTGAAAATCCCTATGAAATAACCCCCCAGGGATGAATGAACTGCTTCAAGACAGGGTTTTACTCAAACTGTACAGCAAGAAAACCTGTGTGTACATCATTACATAATGGTAATTCCTATATATACTGTAGACATATACAATACATTTTTAAATATATTGTCAGGAGTCTGGGGCTGTAGTGCCCTCCAATGTTTCCCTTTTCATAGGACTCCCCCAGGAAGAGCCCCAGAATAGGGCGAGGAGGGGGTTGCCTTCAACTTGATCTTTCTCTTTCTCCTGACATTTGCCTTTCCTGTAGCTTCTTGGGATTGGTCAGGCCTTCGCTGGGCTAAGCCAATAAAGGATTTCCTGGGGCTGGGCTGACCCCAGGCTCCCCCAAGTGCCCTGTCCTCAGGGATGGACCCCCTGGTGAGTGAAGGGCTAAGGGACTCCTAGGCTGGGCCCTCCCTTCTTGTCCTGCTCTACCCTGGCTGCTGGAGGCCCCGGCTGCTGTTGGCCTCTTCCTCTTGCCTGTTCCCAGGGGCAGCCTGTTGCCTCAGCCTGCCAGACTGAGGCTGCTGCTGCTGGAGCATTTCTGGGCATGGCCTTACCCTTGCTCCCTTCCCCACTACCTCTGACTGGTCCTCCTGCCCCAGCAGTCCCTGGGTGAAGTTGCCCCTGTTGGTGTCTCTTCTGGAACAGGTGAATGTGGGGGTAAAGCCGCACCCCTGGACATATATGTTTATTGGTTATATGCAAACAATTCTGGCAACTACAAGTTATTACACGTTTGATGATAATAAAAGTAAAGAGTTCAGGGTTTTAACTGTTAAAACTGAGTCTGGTATCCAAATATCCTTTTAGTCTTATCTACTGTGACTATATCAGACTATTATTTTACCACTATAATTCCTTACCTACAAAATCTGTATTTTTAATTTCAATTTTTATTTTCCCCTACCATTCAGATGGCAAAACTCAAGATACACAAGTGGGGACTCACAAAAAACTTGTGGGAGTGGCTATCCCATTCCCTCCATCTTTGCTTCCTCCCCTCTCCCCCTACTGTCTCTCACTCTTTGTCCCTCTCACCTCCTGTTCTCTTATTCTCTTTCCTCCATGCCTGTTTGGGGAAGGAAGCGACTTCAGCACAGTATAATGCCACAGGGTCCGCCCTCCAAAGCAGCCATTTTCTACAGAGGAACTGATCTGTGTCATCTGGAGAGCAGTTGTAATTCTGGGTGATCTCCAGCCCTCACCTGGAGGATGGCAATGCTATTTCCCCTGGAGGAAATGGTTGCTTTGGAGGGTAGAGTCTATGGCACTAAACCTGTCTGAGGTCCCTCCCCTCCTCAAATCCCACTCTCCCCAGGCTCCACCCCTCAAATCCCCAGGAATTTCCCAACCTGGAATTGGCAACCCAATCTCCTTCCCAGCCAACAGCCAACCTACATTTATCTGCCCCTCTGTCTTCAGCTTTCCATCATCTCCCTCCCTGTAGTCTCTACCTAGGAAAACTATGGTCTTTCTCTACAGTGGGAACCAAAGCAGCTAATGTTATTTCCCTCTCCTCCTTTTTTCCACACAACAACCCTATGAGGGAGGTTTGGTTGAAAGTATGTAACTGGTCCAACATCACACAGTCAGGTTTCACAGCAACATGGGAATCTGAACCTGGGTTTCGCAGATCCTACTCTGAAGCTTTAACTACTGCACCACGCTTGCTTTCATAGGGTGGCTGCTGTTGATCAGCAGCAAGCAGCCAGACCTATCTGAAACACACAAGTCAAGCTGTACCAAGTCATCCAGACATTGCTGTCAGGCAAGCCTGGCCCCAAGGAGTTCTCCCTTAAAGGCCAATATAGTCCTGGAAAGGGTCCTGGCCCCTCCCCCTGCCTTTTTACTCACAGAAACCAAAGCCTGAAATACTGTGGTTGCCTAGCAACAGCCACTGAGGGAATCCCTTGCTTAAAGCTACAGGTGCTCCTTTTATCATTTTCTGATTTTTTTAAACCACTTAAACCAATTAAAAATAGGGGTTTTTTAAAAGATTTTAAATTTTTCTGCATACCTGGGACCCTTTTTAGGTTCAGAGAAAGATCTGTCTCATCCCTTAACAGCTCTGGTCACTGGATTTAAGTATCCAAAGATGTGGCCAACTTTGCTATTAGAATATAAGATGTGCTGAGGTAGCCAGGTGTGGCGATCCACATTTTGCTTTCAAGCACCAAGGATATTTGAGATTTTGCTTGTAGAAAGCAACAACATTTGCACTTTTAAATTCCATAAATATGACAACTAGTACAATTTTATTTGCTTAAGGTATGGTTTATTTTTTGTCATTAACAAAGCAAAGCAAGTTTAGATTTGATAGGCAAAGCATTGTATATATAGTAATCCCCCTTTCCAATTTTTTTACATCCCTAGTCAAGCCTTCTTTTTGTTTCAAACTGCTGTGATTCAGATTCCAATAAAGGTTTAGTAAAGTGTTCACCACATCTCTAGAAATGGTTCTGTTCCAGACCACAGGATATATAAGATTCATTTCTTTTATTTACAAAATTTATATCCCGCCTGTCTTCCTTCACAAGGGCCACAATTATCTTGTTTGTTAGAAGTGAGTTCTGGGTAGAAATGATTTGCCACTAAGTATACCTAACATAAACAAGTGAGAGCACAATACAAAACTGATGCACTGTTGAAAGCTGCAGCTTTTGCCCAGCCTGTTGCTTCTTAGTCCTTGTGAGTATAGAGAAGCCTAGACTAATACAAAATGTGTAAAATCACCCCAGATTTTGTTTTACGTGATTCAGTCTTGTTGGAAATGGTATTGGGATACCAAAGGTATCAACATGTCAGGGCATTTAAGCACTGTGCTTTGGTTGTGGTTTTCCCCCAGTTACTGGTGAACAGTTTTTGGTTCTAGTTCAGGTTGAGTTAGACTGCTTAGTCTGAGTATGCAAGATTATATGGAAAAGCAGATTACAATGCCAGTCATAAAATTAACCATAACTTGATATGAGCACTGACTTGCCTTTTATTGCCAGTGCTTCGACTGGCTTTCGAGCAAGGGAACCTTTACCTTTACCTTACGTAGTCTAAACCAGCTTGTCTTAAAGTTGCATTGCTCATCTGCAACACTGGGTGGCACCAAAGGACGAACCGTTGAAGAGCACAACTGAGCTAAAGCTAATCTTTTTGCCTCCAGCTGCTCCTCCTTAAGGAAAGAAGAGCCAATACCCAGACAAGGGGTAGGCCACCAGCAGAGATAGATCTAAGCTAGTTAAGACCTCATAGCTTGTTTTATATACACACACGGGCTCCAAAAACCTTGCATCAGAAGCACCTTGCCACAGACATTAACAGATAGCACTGTAAAATATGTTTGCAGATATGCAACTGCAGGTGCATATCTCATCCCTTAGCTGCCCTGGGAAATACCTTTAATTCTGAGCAGACCCAGCCTCTCCAAGATAGCCTACCAAGCAGGTGTTTAGCATCAGCTTTTGTGAACTGGTAACTAGGCTGTGTTTTTCTGTTAACATTACTGACAGATAAAATGGTTTGTGGAACAATCACTATATATAATATTAAACTGATGCTCCCTTTTGCTAGGGTTACCAAGTACCTACATACGAATTGGCGGGGGACACATGTTTCTCCGCCGGAACATTCTTGCATGTAACAAGGCCGCGTCGCACCGCGCAGACATGACGTAAGCATGCTGGGCACGTAGCCGGGCGACGCTCTGGCAATGGGGCTGGAAACTCGATGGTACCATCGAGTTTTCAGCCACATTGCCAGAGTGTCACCCGGCTACATGCCCACGTCATGTCTGGGCGACAGGATAGTGCAGCTCCTGTGTTTTCCCCGCGGGAATGTTCCCACCAAGAACTATACGTCCCCCGTCGATTTGCGGTAAGTACTTGGTAGCCCTACCTTTTGCAGATTATGGAAGCAGCAAATTCAAGTGACTCAGACAACTCAGGACTCTCTACCTACTTGAGGAACTGTTCAAGTATGCAGATAAGTATGACTACTTAAAATTTACAAAAAATTTAAAAACCTCAAAAAGAGACCTGATCAAGATGGAAAATGGATGAAGATTGAAAGCAGCAAAGTATGATTTTGGGGGCAGGGACTCAGTCTGCACAACACCCTGAGAGATCAGAGAATTTCTGAGGGAGAGACTTTGGGGTGGGGATGGAATTAAAATTAGTTTCTGCTTCTAAATTCTGTAAGCTTGAAAAGTTGATATCAGTTTCCACTTTTATACAAAGTGGAATTTGACACAATAAAGTCACATTAGTCACACATTGTAGTTTTCTGCCCCCGTCCTTTTAAGGCACTTTACAGCTGTTTATGTAACATAAAAAATTGCCCCAAGGAATGGGTACTCATTTATTCACAAACAAACTTGTGGGGCTTGCAGAGATATAATAAAAGGTGCTGCGGTCTACTATAGTAACTATGAACATGGCATGATAAACCGGACTCTTCCCTCTCAAATGGAACTGTCTCTCTTAATGATGTGTTGCCCCATTTCAAAAAGTTGATTGTCAATAGCAGCTTTTATTGGTGGGTTAGTTAGTGAAGGATGAAAACATGTACTCACCTGCACAATGACACCATGTTTTTTGTACTCTGCATTGAGACCTCGAGAGAAGAAATCCACAAAAGCCTAGAGATTTGCAAGGGAAATAGTGTGATTTGCAAAGGAAATAGTGAAACCCATAGTTTACACCTTTTTCATACACATTAAGACTCTTAAAGTGTAAAACCTGCAGCTCTAGTCTTAGGCAGTATGTGGCATTCCAAGCCAAGGTGTGTGAGATGTTGGATTATTTTTCTCATGCTTATACTGAAAAGAGATTATTCTCTAGGCCAGTGACTTTGCAATTTACTTCTAGAATTGTACCAGGAATTCCAATACATGGTTATGCTTTGTATGGCTTAAAAATTCTAATCAGAGAGAAATTTTATGTCAAACATTAGTACAGTCAAAAATGAAAAGGGAACTTTCAGCCGATATAAAAATCCAGCAAATCTTCATAAAAAATATTACATTCCATACAGTACACAAGCTCATTGACTATATTCCTTTGATTAAAAACAACAACAATCAGAGTAACACCTCACCTACTGCCATATTACAGGGACCTCTGGTATTTATTTGGTAAGAGTTAAATAAAACAGAGTTGCACTTACCTATAACTGTTGTTCATCAATGTCTTCTGTGCAGACATACATTGGGACCAGTGTTCCCTCTAAGCTGAGTTAGTGTGAGCTAGCTCACAGTTTTTTAGCCTCCAGCTCACACCTTTTTGTCTTAGCTCAGGAAGGATGGCTCCAGAGCAAACTAATTTATGCAGTAGCCAAATTGCTCGCTCACAACATTAATGCCAGTGGCTCACAAAGTAGAATTTTTGCTCACAAGACTCTACAGCTTAGAGGGAACATTGATTGGGACTGCACCTCTGCACAGGCTGGCCTCAGACAGGAGTCTTACTAGTTTCTAAGTGCCAAAGGGGGCAACCCTGCCTTCTGAAGCCGGCATGGCAGCTTTTTCCCATTTAAACCATCACGTGATCCAGAGGTGCAGCGCCCCCTTATCTCAGTTCCTGCCAGTCCACTGGAAGTTCCCTCAGAAAGCAAAGGAGAAAAACACTGACTACAAAGAACTTCTTGAGAGCTCACAGTGGGGCAGGAGGGAGGGAATGTGTGTCTGCACAGAAGATGTCGATGAACAACAGTTACAGGTCAGTGCAACTCTGTTTTCACCTTGCATCTTTGGTGCAGCCCCACATTGGGATTTTAGTTAGCTATTAACCAGAGGAGGCAGGGTGATGGTCTCACTGGAACGACTGAAGGATCGCCTTTCTAACCTTTGCCTCCTTTCTTGATTGCAGGTCCAGAGCACAGTGCCTTAGGAAGGTGTCCTCAGCCGACCAAGTAGCAGCCCTGCAGATGTCAACCAGCAGAACCTTGCGGTGAAAGGCGGCTGAGGAGCTCTGTGCCCTGGAAGAGTGGGCCTTGACATCTAGAAAGCAGGATCTGTCAGTGGCAGCATAGCAGAGCTGAACTGCTAAAACCACCCACCTAGATATGGGCTGGGGGAAGCGGCCTTGCCTTTCTTGGGACCTGTGTAGAAGACAAATAAAGTCTTGTCAACCCTAAACTGTTTTGTGTTATCAATATAATACAACAGAGCCCTCCTGATGTCTAACGAGTTGAAAGCCTTCTCAGTTTTGGATGAATGGGAAGGAAAGAAAACAGGTAAGGCTAAGTGGAATGTGGAGACTATCATAGGCAGAAACTCTAAAACTGGAGGTAGAACAACTCTTTCATTAAACACCTTTAGCAAAGGGCCGCCAATTCTCTCATCTGACTGGTAGATGTGATTACAATCAAAAAAGTTACTTTTTTGGAAGGCATGGCAAAGGTGCAAGAGGCCAAAGGCTCAAAGGGAGGCTTTGTGAGCTGGGCTAGAACAAGCATGAGAGACCACTGGGGAACAATGGTTGGGGGGACACATTAACCAGTCCCTCAAAAAAGCGTTGAGATAAGCCTGTGGGAAAAAAGAGGAGAACTTTCTATGAGGTCATGATAAGTGGAAATAGCTGCCAGATGCACCTTAATTGAGGATACAGTCAGACCCCTCTGGTAAGGGGCAGGTAAAGGGGGAGAGACACTTTTGAAGTAGCCTACTTCTCAAATGACACCCATTTCCTAGAATACGAATATCTGCTTGAAGGTTTTCTTGCCTGAACTAGGATGTCACACACCTTGGGTGTGAAAGTTAGACCAGAGAATGTATCTCTAAGGAGGTGCACAACATCATGTTGCAGCATGGGGCCTGTAACGATTTCATGTTTATTTGTGTGTGTGTCTTTAAAAGCTTGGTTTACCTTGCTGTGTAAAAGTCTAGTGTGGTTGAAACAGGCAAGTGGTGTGATTGGTGAGTGACAGAGAGGGGGAGGGGTTTTGGAATGGATGCTGTGTGGATGATTTGAATGTCTATCAGGAGTGACAGAGTTTAGACAGTTAGGCAGACAGTTGATGTTCAGTTAAGCAGTTTTGTTCGGATTTCTGTGAGAGAAGCAGAAGAGGAGTTAAGTTCTGTCTCTGAGTTGAAGGAGACTCATCCCTGTGTGTGAAAAGAGTGACATTTAGTTCTGTGTTATAAGAGTTACAATTGAAAGCTGAGAGTCTAGGAAAAAAGTACAGTGAAAAGTGTTACAAAGTTGCCTATGAAAAATCCCTGTCAGTAGAGA